GTAGTACCTCAACATTCGTTCCACAGCGGGCGTGTTAAAAACTCACCACTTTTCGTTTAAAAGTTTCAAAATATACTTTAAAAACATCTGCGCTTTAACACCATTTTCTTCCAGCATCATTGATCCCATTACATTTTGTCGTGGGTTAAAAAACGATGGAACAAACTAATTCGAAAGCCAATCATTACATTTCATGAATATGTCCTTAACTATTTCTGGGTCAGGTTCTTCACTCGACGCAACATCCGAAGCATTTTCTGACCGTTGAGTGTATTGCTCGAATTCACGAAAGACAGTTTCCACTCCATCCTTCGTTGCTTTTTCTTCTATGGAGTAGAAGAGGGCCATTTTTAGTATATATGATGGCAAAATACCTTCGACGGTTTCAAACAGAACAGGGTCCTCATCGGAAGACAAACTGTCATGTTCACTTACATACTGCATCTTCGCGTCTCTATACTCCTCAAAGCTAACAAAGGGACAAATAGCAGAGCTGATCAGCGACTTGGCAGCTATGTAGCTATTTCGAATTCGATGAAGGCATCTTTTCATAATAGCAGTCTCAACAAGACACAGAGAACATCTCCAAAGTCCGTCATCGTCTTGACTCGTCAGTTTTGGAACAGCGAGACAGGGAAGCTGTAAAAAATCTGGAACAAGGAGTGGAGACTGGATTCGAAAATTGTCTGGCCAAGAAGGAAGACGAACTGCGGGGACAAAATCAACTTCGATTGCCAGAGTTTTATATCTCGATCCTTTCCACAAAAGGAAGAACTTGGGGTCATTGGTGACGTCCTTTATTACCAAGCGTTCATCTTTTGGGAACCTTTCATCGAAAACGATATTGGATAGTTGCTGTGCGAATAGATTAAACATCATGCAATTTGAAATCGCTTTCGGTCCCAGGTCTTCAGTAAACTCTGAGTACTCGTAGCTTGTGTGATTTTTCAGAAAGATTTGAGTGTAATTTGACACTGATGATGAAGTTTCTTCATAATCTACCCCCTTCTCTAATACCTCTTTTACTTTGTCATTTGCTTCTCTATCTGGAAAGAGTTGAACAAATTCGCGAATGTCCTCGGTTTCATGTTCTGGATAAATATTTTCACTCAGTTCATCGAGGCAGACAACATAGTCAAACTCATCTGGATATTTTGTCTTGGTTCCTTCTGATGAACTACCTGCGTGGTACAGAGTACAGCGCATTTTTGGATGATTGTCTGCTATACGCTTTACCACATTTGTCGCAAATCTGTCTAAAACATCCCGGATTTCTCCCGCTTCGGGATCTTCAAAAACTGTCCCTATTCCCGGTGTGGAAATTAAGCAGTTTAAATATTCATTCAAAGTGCCCGACATTCGTAACGATTCCTCGCTAGGACTGATGATGTCTTGAAAAGTTTCAAGCTGCAAAAACTCGCTGCCATGTTTTGCTAACAGTTTCTTTCGTTGTTCCAATTCAAGTTTATAACTTCCGTCTTTGTCATGCATTATCTGCAGAAAATCGAGACTGGACCAAAATTTCGCCAGCTCTTCCGCTGTTTGTTCACATGCATCGCGGAGTTCAACATCACATCCTGCTTTGATTAAAACATCTGCAACAGAAGCCTTGTTGCTCCACGCTGCAAAATGGAGTGGTGTGGACTGATATTTGTCTTGTGCGTTGATATTTGCCCCTAGTTTGATTAGAGAATTGCAAATGACGTCAGACCCCCTCTCCGCTGCAATATGTAATGGTTGTCTGCCTACGGAATCTTTCACGTTCACGTCTGCTCCACGTTCAACTAACGCTTTAAAAAGTTCCTTCTTGTCCTTCTCGATAGCATAATGCAAGACTGTCTGTCCCCACGTATCAGGACAATTGATATCAAGTTCCTTGTCCAATAAGAAGGTTAAAATATCAATGACGTCATGTCCATCTCGGTCTACAATACAATGCAGTAAACTGCGTTTACGACCGTCTACAGTGGTGGGTACACATCCTTTTTGTACAAGGTATTCCAAAACTTGCAATGGCGCTCGCGCAGGTATTGCTAAATGCAGGACGGTTTGACCAATGGCATCCTTGGAATTAGCTGCACTATCATGAATGACTAGGAGTTTGATGTATTCTAAGAACAACTTGTTATCATCTTCTGAAAGAGGTCTGTTTTCCTCGACGAGATGATGAATTGGATTCATTCCCTGCAGATCTAAATCTGTTACAGATGCTCCAGCTTTTATCAGAATGTTCACTGTTTGTCCTTTCTCGAGGTGATAATTCATGACAGCCAAATGTAATGGCGACCTGCCCTGGGAATCTTTCGAATTTACATTCGCTCCCATTTCAATCAGTTTTTGAGTTAGTTTTTCGTCGTGTGGCTTTTCCATAAATGATGAACAGAGTGTGTGAAGTGGAGTCTCTCCCTTGGCATTGGTATATAGAACATCGGCACCAACTGACAAGAAAAATTCTACAAGCTCGTGTTTGCCTTTCCTTATTGCTGTTTGTAATGGAGAGTATCCAAATTTATCACGACCATTTAGGTTAGCCTTAGCTTGAAATAGTAATTGGGCAGACTTTAAATCTCGGACATTGTGCAAAAGGCTATGTTTTCCAATGACGTGTGCACCATTTTGCAATAAGATTTCAATAACTTTTGCGTGCCCTCCATCTACAGCATGATAAAGAGCTGTGAACCCATCATTGTCCTCTTCATTGACGTCACCTCCATTGTTGATCAAGTCAATGAGCTCAGTCTCATTTCCTTCACTCGCTAAACGATGGAGGGTGGGAGAAACTGAGTAGGAATCAGCCGGAAAAATTTGCTCTATGAATTGGCCCAGGTGTGGAAATGGTTTGTAAGTGCCGGTTACTCTGCTGTCACCCATAACCTAGAAAAAATTGTTACCATTATCAAAGGAAATCTTGGCTGAAAAGCAGTTTACGCTCTAAAGTAGACCTAATGGTTCTCTTGAACTGGTCCCGAGGTTTTAAGTCAATATCTCTGTAAGTGGTTTGAATACGAAGTGTCCGGTTTTCAGTTTAAATCACTTGGGCATTACCATGTTTACTTTACGGTAATCTATGACGTCATTGCACGGTCAGATATTTCAATATGGAGTCTACAGATGAAGATTTCTCGTTGCAACTGTACATTTTCAACCGGACTACGAATTAGAAACTATAAGAAGCACTTATATATCTAAATTGACGCAATGCTGTATTTTTAAAACGTCCAACCACGCAATCACGTCATAATTTCCCATCAAGCTTGGCAAAAATAAACATGGGCGCACGCTGGTAATTTGAAATCCTAAAAGAGCAGAAACGAAACGCCCAGCATTCAAAGCAGGCAAAGAATTATCGACTTGAAACTAATGAAACGATTTAACACACGCAAACACCAACTTGCAACTTGGAGCTAAACTATTTTTTAGCCAATAAATTATTCCGTTTAACATGGCATGCAAAATAAATGGCACAAAAGCAAAAAATGGTGATTTTTTAGGTTATTGGCGTTCTTAAAATTTCTCTATTTTAAACCTACATACATTAATCTTTAATGACAATTATGATGACAGACCAAGGCCTGATTATGGTATACCATGAATAACCATGTACGTAAATGAAAAGTGTGTTTTATGAAGTGAAAGCTATGAACAATAATTATTTTACTGAAACTCAGAGGCGGTAGAGCCGGCAATGTCCTAGCACCCTCAATTTACAAAGGTAGAGTGAGTATACATTCAACTTCACATTTTGTGATGAAGAGGGTGTAATTAGCCAAGCATACATGGAAAACGTAAAGAAGAAGACAAACACATAAGAGTTTAATGACCTATGAAGCGTCTATTTTAGGTCTTCTGACTGAAAATTGTATCAAAGTACACTGCTGACTGGAGCGAAAGAGAATGTTTTCGGATGAAACGGAGATGGAACGTTGTGATCAGCACCCACTCCCCTTCCCCACTGATCATACTACTCACCTGCCTCAGAAACTGCAATACAACAAAGAAAAAACAAGCTTTGGTGTATTTTATGTCATACTTCATGTGTTTATGAACTCACTATGAATATGAAAATAAACAATATGTGATAAATATTTGCAGTGAAAACATGCCTGGCAGCCCGGAAGAATCTTAAATAGACCACAATCAGAAATTTTCACAGATTTTCAATGTTTGAAACAAGTCTTACTCAAGCCTTTTGAGAGTATTCTATATTTGTTTGGAAATGCTGAGGGATTCCAAAAATAATTTTAATAATACTAGTAATAATAAAACCTTTATTTAAGTGTCAAGCAGAAATAGCAGGACAAACCACTAAATGGGCCAGGGACACTTAAGCTAAAATAATATATAGATTTAGCCAGGGCTAAAAGCGAGGCTCCCATTAATAAATTTACAATTTAAATCAAACAATAAACTTGTTCCAAAATTCAGTTAACTTTTAGAGCACATTCATGTGACTTTTGAGGGAAAGGCTAAGTGAAGATGCTTGATGCTGCTTTTGTTTGCCTTTTTTCTTACCACTTTTCTGTTGTGTGTTTCCCTTCCCCTGCTGCTGACCTTTCCCACTTTTCAATTGCTTTGCTGTTTGAGCCTAAACAAGGGACAAAACCAATATTAATTAACATACATGTAATAATAAAAGAATATCACAGTTCACAACAAAATGCACGCCATCAAGGAGTTGACACGCTAAGGCCCTGCTTTTAAGGTGTATTCGATTGGCTGGATTGGATCTGATTTTTAATTGGAGTCTTGTGCATTTTTAAGCACCTTAGATATTAAAGATGTGTTTAATGTTGTATAATTTAGCAAGTGTAGGCCACTCAGGCCTTGTAAAGCTTTGCAAAAACAAATCATTTTGAACGACTATTTCCACTTAATCCTATTCCAGAATACATCCAATTGAATGAACCATTAAATTAAATATAAACGAGAGAAATTGGTTTCTCAAGGAGATTAACAAGTTATATTCAATTTAGTGTCACAAAAAACAACTGATCTTAAGTAGTCATGACAAACAAAGGCAGGTGTGCAGGTGTGCAAGGTGTGGAAGTTTGAGTGCAAAATTTTAAAGACATTTTCAAAAACTCATTAACAATTCATGAAGGAAATACTAAAGAAATTATAAAACTATTTATGAGTGTTTTTAAATCTGATAAAATCATGACTGAAACTGGATTCTACTTTTTCAAGGAAAACTTGCCAGAATATCAAGATAACAGCAGAATTGGATAGATTTGATGCGAAATTTTTGAAGCTGTTCAAAAAACTCGCAGTTCATGGTTTATCAGGTTTTTGGCTTCACCTCATGTTTTAATTAAAACCAGATAAAACACTATTGCTTGTTTATTAACCATTACTTTATTGTGATTTTCATGAATTTACATGTATATTGTAAAAGGTAAATTAAACATTACATATTGCTACCTGGGATACAAATCACACCACTCCATGATAACATTAAAATTATCACTGCACTCGAATTCTAGGGGACTGGGACTCTGGAAACTAAAAACATCTTTTTTGACTGAAATAAAAATGTTAACCAAATCAACGCAACTATTCAGAAAGCGAGGGATGAATAAAGAGAAGACGACTTGGTCAACCCTTCACTTCTTTGGGAAATGATTAAACTCAAAGTGCATGAGAAATCACTATCCTATTCCAAGATTAGAAGGCAACAAACGAAACAACGTGACACAGTGCTTGAACAAACAATCACCAAATTAGAGGAGGAACTCTACAAAAGAAATCTCAGTGATGCTCAATTTTCTCACCTCTCAGAAGAAATCAATGAACGAAAGTTTGAGTTTGAGAAAATAATTGAAGATTGCACAAAAGGTGCAATCCTGAGGTCTAAAACCAAATGGTACAATGAAGGAGAGAATAATACTTACACAGCTGTACCATTGGAATTCTCTTTTGGAACGTTATATCAAACACCCTAATCAACACGTTGTGACTATACTTGCGGCCAAGGCAACTGCTAACCGCTTAAACATTTTCCCCCTAATCTAATTAATAGTGATCAAAGTGGCTTTATAAAAGGCAGATTTATTGGTGAAAACATGCGATTATTAGAAAGCATCATTAGCTAAGCCAAAGAGAAAAACATTCCTGGACTACTTCTGTTTCTTGATTTTGAGAAAATTTTTGATACAATAGAATGGCCTTTTATAGGAAATACTCTCAACTATTTTGGAACTCAATATGCTAATGAACCCGTTATTTTGCTCAGGGGTGGGAGTGGGGGTGAGGAGCAAAGATTGTTTGGAATAACAATTTCCACATATTCTGTAATTGGAATTACTGGTTTGCACATGCTGTCATCAAAATTAAAATGAACAAGGTTTTAAGATTTTCTTATCTCGTTAGGAACAGGACTTTCTTACTATGTAATAATTATTGTTTTCATGGCAAAAGTTAATTCCAGATGTTTTTGTTATCCTCTATCTGCCATACTCATGTCCTTCAGAGGGGCACAAATAGGATATTTCCATACTGAGCTCTATAAATTTCTGGGAAACTTTTTGAGGAATATCTCAGCACTGGGGAATTGTACAAGCCTGAGACTTCGCTAGGTTGTTTATTGATTGATCTTCTAAAACACTGCATTTTTCTTGACGCCATCTATCCATAATTTGAATGGTTTCAATTTCAATTTGTGATAGCATGACTGTGAAAACCACCAATACTGACTCCAATGAATATTCTGACTCCAATGAATATTCCGTGAATACCGACTTTTATCGACACATTTAACTTCTCGATTGACAATTATCGACAAATAGTGAGTTGTATCGACTTATCGACAACGTTTTCGATGATCGATCTTGATCTGCATGTTACGCCCTGAGAGTAGAAACTGATATAAAATATGGAATAGGTATAGATTTCACAGAAAGTATTACGGATAATTTGAACTCACGGTACTTCCTCCATCGGCCACACTTGGTGATTTCGTCCTTTTTCCCTTTATAACAAACGCAATATTAATCAACATACTAAATTACCCTTCTAACTCATCCTTTTTCTAACTAAATACCTTATCTTGCTTCGCTGTTTGCATCCGCCATCTGTGCCTGCGGGTAAGTACTTCATATATCCCTGTACACTATAATAAGCGATACATGAAGTACCTACGCGCTCTCGTTCGAAGTGACCGCTGACCGAAAAAACCCGAGACCAGTCGTAGACGTCCAAATCACAAGACGAGCGCAATCTCGTTCCCAAGACGAGCGGGTCACTAACCCTGAGTGGGGTTGAATGACAAAGCAAAAGTTTAACATCAATTTCTGCAAACTTTGCGACACTTTTCTCGATGTCAAGCCTAGCCTTTTCACTGCTACCCTTTTCGTCCAATTGTCCTGAGAACTGTTATTGCGCAAACTCCTACACTATCGACACGCGTGTGCGTATAAGTGAAAAGGGTCTCGCCATTTCAGAGTTACCCCGGGCCTCTGTATCAAAACGAGGTTAAGTGCTCAACCTTTGATTTGAAAATGACTTTTCATTCTCATGCAAATAAAACTCATTTTCACGAGAAAGGTTTGTACTTGGCCCCATTTTGAAAGTGAGGGATTTTTGAACTGGGAAGGGGCCTATTTCTTCAAAGTGCACACTCAAAAAGTTTTATTCTTCACAGCAACATTCTCTACTCCACTGCTTACGTTTCTGATTTCGAGCCTGGAGTCGAAATTCTTACCGCAACAGTCGATTGAAGAAATCGGTTCTGTTACACAGTTAGACGACCATTGGTCTTTTAACTTAGGTTTGTTGACGCCATTGTTAGCTGTATGACTTGAGTCGTCTCACAAAAAAGATGGCCTCCTGCTCGAAATTCAATCTGGTGGATTTTTGATGTCATGTGGTTGTTAAGGTCGCGGGGGACTCCTTGGGTTCATTGTTGGGCATTTATTTAAAGCGTATGCATGAAGTACAACGACTGATATTGAGAGGTTTACCATGTTTACGAGATATTCATAACAATTAATTTATAACTGGATAAAAGATGAGCTCATAATTTAAGTTATTATTCATTTAAAAGATTTCTCCGTTTCTGATTGGCTAAAATCCCACGCATATTTCATGATAACCAGCAAATTTGGGAGAATTTTGCAATATGTGAAATGCAGCAAAATTGCTGAACTGCTTAATTATTGAACCGTTAACCGAGAAGACCTGGGGACGAGGTTGAGTTGTTTTGGTTGCTTTTGGTTGTGACTACAAAATGGCGGAACATTTCACTCCTTTCACGAGGAAGAAGTAGGCAAACTATTTGCTAAAAACATGGCAAGAGCAGCAAGAAGAAATTACAACTCGACGGACATCTGCTATTTGGAGATTATCTTCAGACCTGAACAATCCTTTATCTCCTGAATTTGCCGATAAGCATTCACTATCGAAGATGAACTCAGCATTGACTTGAAGAAGGAGCCGATTTTTCCTCAGGGGAAAGGGGAGGGGGTCTGTACACAGGCTAGTCACAAGCCCGGCATAAAATAGAGTTCTAGCGAGATATTCTTCCTTCCTCTGCTTTCCATCAGATTCAACAGATCCCCAGAATAGTTTTCCCGCCTCCTCCCCATTTTCACCACCTTTCAACGATTTGCACGTTTATTATATCCTGTCGCTTAGATAATATCACTCTTTAAGGCTGACGGTAATTTGTGGCCCCATTTATGAACAAGAAATCATGTACGAAAAGGTTTATTGTTGTGTTTGTAGTTTGCTAATTATTCAATTAAAACTGGCCACGATCATGGCCAAATTTATTCCAACAAAGTTGTTTCTTATTGCTGCTTCTGGGGAATAAGCTCTCAAATGTTTTCTCAACAAATCTCGCCCCTTTTAAGTGCATCACATCAGATCATATTTTACATGAAAACACGGCTCGATATAAAAGCATTTTAAGAGATGTAGCAAAAGCAAAATTTTGCCTTATGAATTTATTCATAGATAGTTGTCCCCAGCGGCCTTAATATGTAGCCATTTCACGCTAACATTTTTTTTCATTACGATACTTGCTATTTATAAAAAAA